TAAGGAGAGTCTTACCAGGCTGGTATTATCATGAAGTAATTGGCCATGTTATAGTAGACGGTTAAGTATCCCGCGGTGAAAGCGGAGACTGCTGCGTGCCAAGGCTAAGTACAGTATCAGATAATGCTTGCCAGAGCAGGCAGTATTTCCCTGAATAGTCTCAACCTCGGAAAAATATTAAACACTTCTTAACAAGCATTGCAAACTATTCTAGATGGGCAGTAGAATCAGGTAAAGATAGCAAATAAATAGTAATTGGCTAATACTGAGTTTTACATCTTTGCATATTCTACAGTGTTCAATACCATATTTCCATCTTTCATTCCATCTTGAGAAAAGATGGAGAATCAGAGACTCACCGAGGTTGGAAGGGACCTTTGGAGATGAAAGGACCTTGTCTAGTCCAAGGGCCGTGTCCAGTCAGGTTTTGAGTATCTCCAAGGACAGAGAATCCACAATCTCTCTGGGCAACCTGTACCAGTGTTGCCCATCCTCACAGTTGTCCCATCACTATGTACCCCTGAGCCGAGTCTGGCTCCATCTTCTTTACTCCCCCCCTCCAGGTATTTGTACACATGGATGAGATCCCCTCTGAGCCCTCTCTTCTCCAGGCTGAACAATACCAGCTCTAAGCCTCTCCTTGTATGACAAATGCTCCAAGTCCTTAATCATCTTCCTAGCTCTTCACTCCAGTACATCCATGTCTCTCTTGTACTGGTGAGACCAGCACTGGACCCGGCACTCCAGATGTGTCTCACCAAGGCTCAGCAGAGAAGAAGGATCACCTCCCTCTATCTGCTGGCAATGCTCCACCTAATGGACCCCAGGAGGCTGGTGGTCTTCCTTGTCACAAAGGGGACATCACTGGCTCATGGTCAACTTGGTGTCCACCAGAACCCCAGGTCCTTTTCTGTAAAGCAAACCTCCATTCTACCCCAAAAAACTGAAGAACAAGCAACTCAAATGATACAGAATCATAGAATCATTTAGGTTGAAAAAGACCTTCAAGATCACCAAGTCCAACCATTAACCTAGCACTGCCAAGTCCACCACTAAACCATGTCCCTAAGCACCACTTCTACACATCTTTTAAATACCTCCAGGGATGGTGACTCAACCACTTCCCTCGGCAGCCTGTTCCAAGGCCTGACCACCCCACCCTTTCAAAGACATTTCCCACGGTGCAACTTTAGGCCGTTTCCTCTTGTCCCGTCAGTTGTTACTTGGGAGAAGAGACCAACCCCCACCTCGCTACAACCTCCTTTCAGGTAGTTGTAGAGCGCGATGAGGTCTCCCCTCAGCCTCCTCTTCTCCAGGCTAAGCAGCCCCAGTTCCCTCAGCCGCTCCTCATAAGACTTGTTCTCTAGACCCTTCACCAGCTTCGTTGCCCTTCTCTGGACATGCTCCAGCACCTCAATGTCCTTCTGGTAGTGAGGGGCCCAAAACTGAACACAGGATTCGAGGTGCAGCCTCACCAGGGCTGAGTACAGGGCCACGATCACCTCCCTGCTCCTGCTGGCCACACTATTTCTGATACAGGCCAGGACGCTGTTGGCCTTCTTGGCCACCTGGGCACACTGCCGGCTCATGTTCAGCCGGCTGTCAACCAGCACCCCCAGGTCCTTTTCCTCTGGGCAGCTTTCCAACCACTCTTCCCCAAGCCTGTAGCATTGCATGGGGTTGTTGTGGCCGAAGTGCAGGACCCATCACTTGGCCTTGTTGAATCTATTCATGTGTACAATCATGACTTTCTTTTACTGACTATGATTCAGAAAAAGAAAACATCCAAAAACCACAAAACAACTGAGGACAGATAGAGAGAGGTTTTGTGTTGAGTTTGTTTGTTTTGTTTTTTAATTATAATTAAATTTGCAAATGCAAACAGCCAAAATTTTACGCCAAAGACTATTAAAGACAAGCAAGGAAATCACCAGGACTTAGCAGCTGGTGGTTTAGTGTAAAACAACGGAAAAAAAGGAAATTCAAACAAGTAATCTTCTTACTAGTTTGCAAAGCCACTCATATGGCTAGATGATGCGAGTAGCTCCATGAAGAAACAGGTACACAACTGAACAGACCAACACACACTGAACCACAACTCAACTTTTGGTTTTAAGTTTATTGCATTGTTATATTAAGCATTTATATTTACACATAATTCTGAATTATTTAGTTACAATATACTGAAACTGTCATCATGATTCAATTATTCACTTATAAAGATCTTCTACCTTCAGAGTTAAACCCGATTCTCTTACAGGCAGTTTTGGAAGAAAAATAATTACTGACTGAAAATGCATGCAAAAAACTACAGTAGTTACGTTACTAACATGTCTCTCCTGACTTTCTAACATCCCCTCAAAACATGAATGCTATACATGTGTTGTATGAAAAATAGTTGGGAATCTCACGAAATCCCCAAATGATGATGGAATGGTGCTGATTTTTGCTATGTCAAGTCTGCAGTCAAATATAGATATGTATATGTGCATATATACGTATGTCTCTCAATGTACATGCATACGTGTGCATGTCTAGAGTAGTATATATAAACACATACACACACTCATACCCCGAAAGATTCTAGAGGTAAATATGCAGGCTTGCAAATAAAACAAAATACAAAGATACCAGTATGAAATAGTTAAACAAGAAAAGGTAATAAATATTCAGTGAGATATATGGCATTATTATAAAGTGCTCTACTAAAATCTCACTTATTAAAATAACGATAAAAATTATGTTCCTTTTAGTTGATTTATATAATTTGATAGAGCCATTAAATATTCATTATGTATCAGTGACTCTATGCTTCCTTTTAAATTTTAAACAAATAGATAAAAGCAGAAATTAAAAGGCAAAGCAGATACATGAAGCAGTACTATTGGAGCCTTTCAGGCTTTTGTCCTCAAATTCATTAACACCGGCAAAATTTCAAACCCTAGAGCATATGGATTAAGAAATATAATTCCAATTAAAACTATGCAACTAAACAAAATTCAATTTGATTTTAAGGACAATGACAAACTGAGAAGTTTCTATCCTACTTTAAAATAGCGAGGTTTGAATTGCAGAAATTACTGAACGCCTTATCCTGTGCATTCCCAGCCTCTTTCCTCACCCATGTGCAACATAGCTCCACTGAAACCTAGTCTCTAGGTCTCATTTCTCCACATTCCACCTAGTTTCAAAAGCAACCTGGCTCATATATTACCGTATCCTGTCCAGTCTGCTTCTACCCTTCTGATTTTCAGCCAAACTCACAAAAGGGTACATCTACAAGAGTGTAAACATTTTAAACAGCTTTATGCCATTTCTTCCGTACCACCAGAAGTTAGAAAAAGGAACGTGGTAGTATTGAAGAAAAACGACTTCAGGAAATAAAGTGAAACAGCCCCACAACGTGAACCTGCCTCGCTGAATTAATAAGAAAGCCAAATATCGTTTCATATTCCTTGTAACAATTGCTTTACTCAACCACAGCAATTTTTTTGTGATTTGCCCCATGGTTTTATGGATAAACCTGTCCTTTGTATCAGTAAAAAAAAAAAAACAAACACCACAACAAAACCAGTAAATGGTTACTTTTAATGTCTACTGGAAAGAGCACTAAAAACTAACAATTCAGCTCTGACATCCCAGTCGAATTAAATAGCATGTAAATTCAGTTTCCCTCAGGAATCTGATCTGGCCCTGAGAGGGCCCCCTTCTCTGTTGTGCAACTCTGCTGGAGCGAAATTCACCCGTGCGGAGGGTCACCACCTCTTCCCCATCTGCCTGCAACTGCTCCATACCACTTAAGCCCTAATTTGAAGTTAAGTGGGACTTAGCTGGTGCACAGGTCTTGCGCTGACTCTCTGTATGGAGGCAAAATTCATATCAAGCCACGGAATTGGCTACGTCTCCTGGGTTGCAGTAAATGCATAATGACAGCATTATCTCTCTGCTCCCTTGCAAGAACTGAGAGATACTGAGCTGCCTAACTCAATACTGTATTATTCAACAATATATTCCCTACATCTGGAGGAAAAGAGAGAAATAAAACCTAAACTAATAAAAATCTTAACAGCTGAGCAAGAAAGTAAGTTTTCGGTATACTACCTGGCACACCACCAATATACATATTCATGAGCTACATGGTAAAGAATGTACTGAGAGAAAAACAATGTCCTCAGTTGCACTTCAGCAGTATCCCTCTTCAACATCAGAGTCTCACATTCTGGATATAAAACACTGTTACCTGCAGATTCAGTGCAATTTCCCCCTCCCAAGGCACTTTAAGACATCTAAAACCTGAGCTGAGAACGTAAGAGTGTAACTCCCCTTATTTTTAAGATCTGATCTGACATTTCCATCCTGTCAAACACACCTTCACTAGCAGGTTTCTTTGGCCAGTGTTCTGGTAGTACATGAGTTAAGGAAGAGTATCCCATTTGTGTTTTCTTCTAAGTGGCATCTTCTAAACTATTCTTGTTCACCAGCATAGCCATCGCCCCACTTAACTGCTTTGTAAAAATCTCTGTCCTTTGCGGACCCATCAGAGATCTAACTGCAAAGGCACAGGTACATGTAATTGTGCAGGAGGCTTCATGTATACGAGTATCAGATAAAAATATCAGTTGTTGAACTATATATTCCGTGTAATCTTATCTTTGCTTCGAGTTCCTTTTAATGGAGTTTAGCCGCAATACTTCTAAACACACTTTAAAAAACATCAGCACAATAAAGTAATCTGGATCACTGAAGCCAATCTCCTTTTTTTTGTTGAATAGCAGCAAAACCAAGACTTGTAATACCAGGTATTTATTTTTATAGATGTTTCACTTCTCATGCTGAAGCAGATATAAATGTGGTCATAAAATCATGAAACCAATACAGTAATGTGCCAAGTAAAGGCACTCTAATCGTTTGGCTTGGGTGCAATTCCCGATTCTTATTTTCTTATGAAGCAAAACCCTAACTGATAAACGCTCTACAAATTAGTGTACAACCCCCTCTGCAAGTTTCCACATTTCTCTACCATTCTAGAAAATCCTACATAAAATCATATATAATTTTAACCAATTATTGAACACAGACATTTTAACCTTTCTTTCTGCTCAGTACATTTGTTACACAAGATGAGCTCCAAGCATCAGATGTTGATAGAGTGAGCATGTTTCTTGCACAGTGGCTTGTCCTTCTTGGAGAAGAAAGTCTGACCCTCCAAACTGTCACTACATACCTGAAATGGGATAAAAAAGAAAAGATCACCCAATTCAGATGGATGAATTACGCCATACATTATTCAGAATGCCAAATCATGGCATTGTTCTATGCACAAATAAGTTCAAAGAATAAGAATTACTACCTTTTTCTTAGTATTTGATGTAATACTAATGGTTGATGTAAGCGTAACCTTCCTTTCTTTAAGTCAACAGGTTCTTAACTGGGAGCAGAGTTAGGTTCAGCATTTTTAAAAAAATATCCAATCATTAGGATTGGGGCTTTTTTTTCTGGTCATACAATATCAGCAGGTGATACTTTGGCTACAGTGTCTTTATGTCAAAAGCACTCTTGCTACTTTAGAAACGCAGCCCATTCCTGCACGGCCTTCAGTGCTTGTTCCGAGGAAGTAAACATCAGGGGTTAAACGCTAGTACACATGGCTGCAATCCAGGCCAACTTGTCTGGACCGGTGCCAAAGGCTCACAATAGCAACACCCCTTCCAAGTAACTGGGAAAGTGCTTTTTGTTTGGGCTCAAAGGATTGAAAGAGGTTATAGCTTAACTCCCGTATCGGTCAGGTTAGCACAAGCACTGCTGCCATAGGTTTGTTTAAAATGTAGGCTAGCTTTACTTACTGAGCATACAAAGCAAGTGTCATGCCAAGTGTGGCCCAGAGCTTCAAGAAACCTGTCTCCAGCTTCAATGGGGAATTCACAGCCACGGCACATAGTACCGAAGAGGGCATAGTAATCTGCAAACAAATACAAACAGATTTTAAGGATGAAGCATATGCAGAAAAGCGAGACTGACCCTTTGAAACCTTTGTGCTTTTCTTCCAATGGCAGTGGGTTTGCACTTGCCAAGTTTTATAATACTGGGTACACTGAATAAAGAGGGCCTAGATCGAAAGACCGGGATGCCCTCCTTTCCTCGCTAATTCAGTTCTCATCCCCTTCCTTATCCTTTCAAGTGAGCAATGCTTCCATCTTCCTGGTGTTTCATTTCCTTGAGATCAATAGTGCGCTCAGGGGGGGAATGCACTCCTCGCAGAGCACCCGCGTGGACTCTACGTGCTCCTTACCTCCTCTCCGGCTCTGCCTTGAAAGCATACCCTGGCTGTTCACACGACAGACCTCCTCAGCGAGTAATGAACTCCTGCCTATGTTCTGGCACAGTATTTGCCCCAGACTGCACTACACAAAATCATGCAACCATTAGGCTTCTGTCCTAAACAGAGTCTAGCAATTTGGATCAAGTCAGAATTGTTTTCTAGTCACTCGAGTTTATTACATGGTTTAAAAAAAAAACCAACAAAAACAAACCAAAAACAAACCAGAGGCTTTAGGCAATATACTTATTGCATTTAACGAAAAGTATCAGTAGGGTATCAGGATGGTTATTAGTGACTGGAATCACTGAAGGGTATTCATTTTTAGGCACCAGATTGACTTGGTGCCTCTGGAGGTTCCCCCGGAGCCAGCAGAGAAAAGCTCCTCCAGCAGTCTCAGAGAGCGGGAACCAAAGCCAAGGGCACTGAGCCGTTCATACTCCCCACCGACTGCAGAGCTTGAAAAAGAGAGAGCAGGGCAGACTAGCAGGATAAAATACACGTATAAAGTTGGGTGGGAGGCACTGACAGCCAGGCCCACGGTCTCCGTGTGTGAAACTCGCCTCTTTGTGTCAGGGGCTACAAGTCACCACAGCCCTCCGCTGCCCACCTGTGCAGACCTAAATTTCACCCCAAGTTGTCTGGTCTTTTCAACTTATTTCAACTCTCAAATACCCCCTTCTAAGAAGAAAATGTTTTTTTCCTGCACAGAAGACAACAGCATTAGTGCTATAACATGAGAGAATCTGGGATCAGCATGCTGCCGTGCCAAACACATCATGTCATGCCACATTACATTCTCATAAGATGAACTATAGAGTGACAACTATAATGAAGCTTTGGACTCCATCCTTAATAGTTACACTGGCTCTGACAATTAGATGAAATTAGATGTCAGGGGTTGTTTTCAAGGAGCCTTATAAGGAGTGGCAAGTGGAGCACAAGAAGATTTTGTTTCTCAACTAGATTATACAGATCTGCTGAAGCTCTAGTGCTTACTGCAAGAGCGCCAACGGCGGCTTATCACATGTGTCAAGCCCAAGGGAAGAGTCCTGTTTTGGTTTAGTAAGACAGTGTTTTGTATGATGACCTGAAAAAGCATCATCATAGGAGGCATCTCAGCAGGACAGGAAACACAAGTGCTCTGGAAAAGCAAATCCCTTGATGGCTGCCAGTGGCAAGAAACAGCTTCACCGATTGCTTTCATTAATCTATGCTACTGACATGAATTTGCAAGTGTTTAAGCAGAAGAAAGACAATAGAAATGTCAAATGGTAGAACACCTGTGTCCAAAACCCCTGAAGGACATGACCATACTGTTTCAGCTCTTTGCATTCCTGTTCATACAGAATCTTTTACTGATATTTTCCTGGTGCCAGTAGTTAAAGCCTTTTGTAAGTTGGCCTGTGGTTTGTGTTGATAAGTTTATTGGCTTTTCTTCTGAAGAAAGGGCAATAGATAAGGCAGAATGAAGGGCATCAGCTTTCTTTTGCTTTTGCATGCTTGAATTGTGATACCACAGAAGCCTTCCAAGGCAGACTTCTCATACAGTCACATATCATGCTTCCTGCACACAGCATTTTCAAAACTAGGTTACTAACTCTGCACTTAAAAAAAAGTTCAAAGTTGCAGATATCTGCACTTCTAATTTAATTTTAGCATCGACACCCAAACCCAGAACATTTTGCAGATTAAACCCCCTTAATACTAATAGCTGATGCTGGTATAATTTCAAATACAGATTTAAAATTAGAACCCTTCTTTGCACTAGGAAGAAGGAAAGTTGGCAATGACATTTACTCTTTATTTCTTTAAAATTAGTCATAGACTCTTAACTGCAGCTGGACTGAAAGTCTTTGAAGAATGAATATATCGCAAATTAACATCTAGTTAGAGAGCCAGAGTCATTACAACATATCACTGCCAATAACACCTCACAGAATGTGTCTACATTAACTTGCGCTAGCAACTTTCTATCTCAGAAATAAACTTCAGGAGAAGTATAATATTCTCGACATTTTACCCCGGTGTTTCCTGCTCACAGTATAGAAAAGCACGCATTTGTGCACGGAAGTCGTAACAGTAGCACAAATCAATGCACCGCACAACATACGGGTCATTTGGTGGCAGGAACAAGAATTCAATATTAGCAGAACAAACCCGGTCACGAGCTTTCCACCCGAAGGGGAGTTATCGATTCCTCCAGTACTATTTTTGAACCATCAAATGGTTCCAAGATTAGGGGCTTCAGATTGCTTCAGGATGAAATTTCACCGTGCCGTCACACTGGAGGATGCTGCTCATATATCCATTTCCTCTGCTGCTCCAGGAATTCAATAGGAGCAACACGTTACCCTACTTGTGTCACTGAGTTAGCAATAATCTACCGCGTCCTTTTGTATCTGCCAACACTCATTAAAGCCGCTCTGACAGACAAATTTCAGATAAATTCTGCCTGCTTTCCTCATCCTTTCAGTACCTAGTATTCTCCATGGCACCTGCTGCGAACAACTGCGGGATCAACCCAGAAGGAAATCTTAGCTCCAAACAGGTCACTAGGATTTCATGCTAAATCTCTTCCCGGTCAATCTACTTCCACCTCTAGTTAAACTATAATGCTCCTTACAGTAGAAGGAAAAACACAGAAAAGGTCCGACTGATGGTTCTCACATGGATGTAAAGAGCATGCAGTGTGAAAATAGACAATTTTGATACAATTTTGTTTCTTTTCCATTTTGTGGGAATTATTTTAAAAATACTATCTATTTCTTTCCTAGCCCAGAAGGGTACTTGGGAAGTTTTAAGCAAACTAGGAAACGAACATAAAAAAAACCTGTTCATATTAATCAAAAAGATACAATTAGCCGGAAGTGCTAAAAACCAAACCAGAATCCCTCTGAACTTCTAAGCCGCATTTTTCACGTAATATTATTCATCAGGCTTTCAGGTGCTATAATCATATCACTGTATTTTTCCCCTGACAGTCTGTTTTTTTATCCCAACCTTATGTTCAACAGATGTTATCCCTGATCCTGCAAAAAACTTCCTGGGCAGACTGAGTCCCTCCCGGCTGTGAATAAGGTTATTCAGAGCAAAACACATTACTCCACTGGCATTTGCTTGTTTAGTAAATAAGCAGATTTACATAAACTCCAGGTTATTTTAAAGCCAACCAGAAAGTCACCCTAAAATTAACACTTCGCTGTATCACTGATACCTACAGCTGAGGGCTTACCAGGAACAGCAAGTAAAACCAGAGAACCTGCTCCTGCCGAAGCTGATCAAGAAATTCTCACCAACTTCTCCTGCTGCAAACTCAAAGTGTCTACAGCATTTGTTGCTGCTTTGAATTGACATATCAAAGTTACATGAATTTGCTGGGGCACTTCTTCTGAAGCGAAGCTTGAGAAAAAGGAATTATTATTTTTTCCAACCTTATCAAGCTCTGCTTCCCCGCACAGCCGCAGTAAACTTTGTTGTGTTGCTTCTTACCCGTCTCACAGTAGGGATCGCCGTCTTCTAAGTGGAAGACATTATTGCGGATGGGGTTATGACAGGCCACACACACGAAGCAGGAAACATGCCAAGTTTGTTTCAAAGCATTTATTACTTCCTGTGGGGATTAGAAAAAGTGTTATTAACACATTATTTTGACATGATGACTAGATTGTGGTGACCATGCCTCCTTTGCTTCCTACTGCTACTTTGAAAATGGGTTGTGCACGCAATCTCTGCTGATGTTAACGAGGTACTTTATTTATGGTACATCTCCTTATTTGTCATAAGCAACCTTTCATATTTTGGAAGGTTCAACGTAGAGTTGGACAGATTTAACAACTCATTTGTTCACCTTTTCCATTTTAATTAGTATCTCACCCGTAACGGTCCCCTGAAATAAGAAAAGCAGCATTTCCGATGTCTCCTCAAGTCTGTGAATAGTTAATAAGAAGACATCACACTGAAAATTATGACTGCTCTGTGTTGTTTTGGAAGATGCTATAGTGCCAAATATGACTTGAGAATTGTGCTGCCAGAGCCCTGTGTGACCCCAGTTACACAAGAGTCCAGACACATTGCTGTCTGCAGTAAAGCGGCGGATGATCAGCTGGCGGGCTCAAGTTAGCAATACTAGTGCCGAGTAGGATAATGCGTCTTTCTATCTACCATTGGGAATATTTCAGTACTTCACATCTAGCCAACCAGCGTGTTCCCCAGCACTCAGCTTAGTTAAGGAGGATTATTTATTTTTCTTTCCTGCCCCCCCTCAATTTTGTAAAAAGCTGCCAATTAAAAGCATTTTGCTTGAGAAAATTTAGTAATCGCAACAGCTACAGAACAGCTTCGTGAAAACAGAAGCTGAACTTGGAAGAGCCGAAGAGACTACAGCACCTTTTCTCAAAGAGACTGAAAAGGCTCAACTTTAGAAGAGCCAAAAACATATTCTGTATGCGATGGGACCTGAAAAGGTATGTCAAGAGTACGTTTGGAGGAACGCAGACTGGGCCAGATAAAAGGGAATTTCGCTACCGAGAAGCACTGAACACTGTGGTTACTGTTCCCACTGAAAAACAGGCCACTTGCTGGTCACTTACCCCAAGTATCTTCCTTTGGCACTTTGAACACTCAGGGGCGAAGAACCTCTCATAGCAGACCTCACAATACAGGGCCCCTTTCTCTTCCACAAATCCAATGTAAGCCATGGAGGTTTTGCAATGAGCACAATTAAACTCCTCTGGATGCCACGACTTCCCCAAAGCCACCAAGAAGGGTCCTCTGGTTAGAAAGAAGAGATTTTGTCAGCCAATGCCCCTGGGTTGGCTCCTGCAAAAGCTGTTAATAGGCTTAACCTGCGACACCTCTGTGCCATTATTACACTGTTCATAAACTTACTCTGCTCCATCCCTCTTCCCTCCTACAGGCTCTAAGAAAGCGTCAAGTGTTGACTAGATCTATTCCCATCGAACTATCTCCCAGAAACACCTGACCACAATAAATACTAATTCTCTTTGCTTCACTGCATTTCAGAAATCTTATTTTAGAACTACATTAAATAAAGTGCTGAAGTGGCTGCTACGGAAAAGAAGAAGGATGTTCCCTATGTTCCCAACTATTTCCATCTATTGTAAAGAGATATTTGACTCAGTGATATGATCAGCTCTCTTTCAGCGTGCATTTGTATCGAGGCTACAAATGTTGAAGCAGACTTGACTCCATTAAGAGCTGATAACACCAGTTTCTTGTGAGACAAAAATTCAATCGCTGTCCTTATCCAACAAGTTTGTTACAGGATAACCCATCCCAGTTGTTGATTTTTTTTTTTTGTTTGTTTGTTTGGTTTTTTTTTTCCCCCTACAGAAGTTAGTTGAAATACGACCATTTTCTCCAAATACAGAGCCTCCTATACTATTTGTGAACACAAAATAATGATGCTTTTATAGCATTTGTCTGGCTAATACAACAAGGTTAATAGACAAGATGAAATTGTCCATTTCTCAGTCAACAAAAACTTCTCAGTTTGTAACTCATAAATCCCAGGCATATGCCATTGTATCTGTATTTATTTGAAAACATATTCAGCATGCTAATTTCTTTAATGAACTTATTTACTTTAATAAGGTGCATCCTAGGTCCCACCAACACTCAACCTTCCAGAATTTAGGTTTCAGGTGAACTTTGTGGTTCAAATTCATCTCCCTCACCAGATTTCCCATTTTTGCAATACCAACAGAGATGCCATTCTTTCAATAATGAATCACTTTGATCTAATACTTCAGTGCAAAAAAAAGTGTAAGGTACTAATATCACCACCCTGTTACTAAACATTTGTTTTGAAATCGAGTAAGCTACAAGAACATTTTTGTGTAAGATAAGATTCTCATATGAACAAAGCAACAGCAATAGAGAAGAAAAAAACCTTAAAATTTGTTTCCAGGGTTACACTGACTGTAAGATGGGAATATAAGCGGGCAGAGGACAGAGGGGAACTTCATTGAGAGTAGGGGCTAATTAATTTAATTTCTCTTCTACATTTTCTCTGGAGCTGCTATTTTCAACAGGATGAGAAGTCAAAAATAAGGGACTCAAACCGATTTAGGACAACTCGCACACCTTCTGAGAGGATGAACATATTTAGTCTGCAACAGTTTCTTCTGTTTACCTCTGATGATCGGAAAGCAAGCAGTGAAAAAGGGCTCCTGGAGAGCAGCTTGTAGCCCTTTAAGGAGGGAGCCGGGGTCGAGCGCAGCTCTCTGGCCCCCCGCCCCCAGCGGATGCCTGAGCAGTGCAAACACTGACCTAACCCGATACCCTCCCGCCGCCCTACAAGCACCTTTTTACATCAATGCCCTTTCAGTTATGTACTGATCAAACAATACAAGCCCTTATGTACAACAAAGTGCTCTCAGTGCGCCGTGTCAGCACAGGCTAATTTAACAGATTCATTAACACGGGGCTGACACCGAAGAGGCTCTCCCGGCTCCAGGTAGGATTGAGTTTCTGGCCATCTGCACCGAAACGATAGGCTCGGTTAGCTCTGCAATGGAAAGAAAATGCGCTAGCGACAGGAGGGGAAGGAATTTTTACGTCTGCTGCATTTAGCTCTCCAGAGTTTTCAGCTCTGACATGTTGAGGTTAGCCATTCAGGACAGCACACAGGAACCCAGACGGATGGGGAACAGCCCGAGAGTGCATCTACGGAGTTTCTTTCCCAAAGTCCCCAGACAGCTGTGGCCGTGCCCTGCACAATGTCTCTGAGGTGTTCCATTAGCGGGCTGGCTCCCTGCGCACACGTGTCCAGAAGAACACTTTCTAAATACAATTTTACTTTTAATCAGGCTGTAGTTTAAACATGTCAAGCTGACGCTGCAGCTTAATGATACCAGTGACTTAAAAGCTGCCCCAAAGCATGTGGAAGAAAGGGGGGAAAAAAAAAAACCCCAAACCCACCTGCCACATAAAAAAACACTAAACCATGATATTCAGAACTTGGAGGTGTTCCTGGTCTCTGCATATTTTTGCTATCAAAATGATAGCTTCCAGTAATGAAAGGTATTTATTTGCTGTATTCATCTGAAAAGGAGTTTAAAGCCTTGATTTGAGTAACGGGGCCGCATGCCCACACTCACACAACTTGATGGGAAGTAGCTAGGGCGTGAAATGCTAGGAAGATGGCTGCAGGTGGCTTCATCCTTCCTTCCCCATTTTAAAGCAAAACACAATAAAAAAAATCCCACATGCCTCTGTCAACTAGAACATACTTTTAAAGGTGGTGCTAAAAAAACATGTTCCTTCCATCCAAAGATATGGGATAATCCAACTGGCAACAGTTGGCTATGAATGCCCCTCTATCCCAGGCTACTTTGATGTGCTAAACATTTCTGAACAAATTTCTGGCATCACCATCTAGACCACGTGAACCAAACTCACAGATGGAGGCAAATACTCATAATTTTTTTTTTTTTTTTAGAAGAGATTCTTATGTATTTACAACAGTATTTCCAGAATTTTATGCCCCAAAGGATGACCAGGTACATAAATTTGGTAGCCACTTAAACTATCTGGGTCCTGCATGTAGCAATGATATAGGGGCAAACTGGAAGGAGAAGTAAATAACGAACAGGGAATATAAGCATAATTTCACTATCTTTACACTTGTAACTAAATACAACTTCATCAGTATGGTCATGATGTATTAGTATGCCGATAATCTAGCTTCTCACGTGACTTTTATTACGATAGCAAGCCAGAACTGGAATTTGGTGGTAGACAGATCAAAAGGACTTCCACATCTGCTAAGTAGGCTAATCACTCTTCAGTTAACCATACAGCAGTCTACACTCTGGGAAGTTCCTTTTTCTCCTTACTTGAAAATGCCGTGATATATAATTTCGGTATAGGAGATGCTGAAGGGACACACCGTTTGTACTTTCTCCTTTGTGCCTTTAAAATAATTAAGCTGTATGAAAAGGTGACAAAACCAAATCATCATTCACAAGTGGACATGCCAAAGAGTATGTTCTGAATGCAGATCCAGGGAAAACACATGTGGACTTCAAAGGGAGAGCCAACTCTGCACTGTGGCACCCAGTGAGACTCTCCGGGAACCAGAAGTCTTCATCAGAAAATGTCAGAAGTTTGTCAGACTGTCACAGCAAGTAGATCACAGGAAATCTAATTTGCCTCCAACTTTGAATCTTTCAGACATGGAAAGAAAAGCTTACTTAATGAAGCTTTGGAAAAAAATGGAATCTTCAGACAATCACAGTATGAATAATTAAAGATATATTAAAAAGTTGCAAGTCATCTCTAAGAATGGTTTTGGCTCAACCAGCTATGGTTTTTCTATGCCTGAGTGTAAAGCAACCAACTCCACAACGCATTTTGGCTTCAAAACAGATGTACAATGCAATGTCACTTGATCCTCCTCCTATCTTTTCACAGGTAACGCTACCACTAAGGGCATGATCCGTAATTATGCCAAAACATGAATTCAAAATGCCATTGCAATCTTTCAAATCCGCTGTATGCTGTGAACACGAGACATACTTGGCATTGATTAACGCACATCAACTCATCCTCAAATGAAAAAGTGCTTCCTTTTAATAATTGAGGTGGCATTTAACATATGAAGAAATATAAGGATTTAGATACCACCAAATACCAGCAAATTACAAAGAAGTTAGAGGTGGGTATCAGTTACTATTCATGAAGAGGTGTCACTTTCAATAGGTGATAATGGCCCAAGTACTGTCAAGTAGGGCTCCACAGTTTCTCCTCATGCAGCCACTAAGGAGCAAAGGTTGCTCCATGGACCAATACACTCCCCTACGTACCGGGGTGGCAACTCATCTCCTTTTTAATGGTGATCAAAGCAGGGAGAAGCAGCAAGTGATTTAAGGGCTGAGAGGAGAGGTTGGCTGCTCAGGAGTGATCTACAGACTGTGCTGTGAGACCCCACGGCACAGAGCATCAGCGAACCCTGCTGAACCCCGGGTGCCTTAAAAGGCACTGAAGTTTCTTGCATGAAAGGTGCGGCGTATAGTGGATTTGCTATGTTCGTGTTCATTTTCAAACTGAAACGATGGTAACAAAAAGGAAGGTGCATGGTTGCTTGCTTATTACTTACTAGACACAAATCCAAAGCTCTCCACTGCCCAGGGAACAAAAAAGTCAGAATACTAAAGACAGACATGGTGATTATATGGGCCAAACTGTTCAACAAATCAGATGAATCTCATCCAAAAAGTGCGTAGACCTTTTTGATATTAATCTTCCATTTTGCCGTGGAGCAAAAAATCTGGATTAGAAAAGATGTACACCTATGTTGGGAATTTGTGTAAGTTTTTTCTATTGCTCCAAGAGGATTCAGAGCATATATTTTTATTTCCTCGACATATACAATGGAAGTAGGAAAAAATTCTCCAAAACATCACAGATCAGTTAGCAAAAAGTCCTCTAAAATTAATCTGATGTTAACTGAAGCGGTAGTGAACTACGAGAATGGAAATCTAATGGAAGTAAGCAAGCTAGACTCAATTAATCCCTGGAGTTCAAGTGACTTGAGTTAGCTGCATCTTCTGATGCACAATCCAAGCCAGGCTGAAGAGGCTGTAAAATGCCAAAGTAGAAAGGTTGATTTTCTATTATTCTGAATTAAACTTATACAGCTCGTAGATCTCCTCATTTTTCAGAACTCACTTTTCTAATCAAACAAGTCTCTTTCTTTAACCACGGTGAAACAGTGCAGGCTCTCCTATTTTGTTCACTGAAAACATGGCACATAGATGAATAAAAAAATATTACAATGCACTACTTTCCCCTTGTAATTCAACAACGCACACAGATAACTGAACAACCAAGAAAACATTTTAAAAGAATACATTTCTTCTGATAACCCCAGGAAATCTTTATTTTAGGGAAGAAATAAAATGCAAGGTAGATGAAAATCAGGATGATTTGCACATTGACACGAAAAGTGATTACAGTTCCCTGGATGACCCAATCATGACTAATTGTCAGAAATCACTGACTGAACAATGCAACCCAGATTCAATTCTTCCTCCATATGAAATTCTGGCTAATGATAGGATATCTTAGGGGCTCAGCAGAATTTATTTAATTTAATCTCATTTGGCAAACTCATTTTTGTGTTGCTTAATCTTTTATACCCATGTCATACAAGTCAAGGACACTAGCTATCGTAATACCCAAAGGCCAGAGAGCCCACCAAAGAGCTTGACATCTAACAGTGCAGGAAATTATTATTAATCCAGTCCTAGCAATTGTTAAGCCTTTATTCCTTGCTTTTCTTATATGGATGGAGCCTGCTATTTTTCTTCTTCAAAGTTAGAAATTCTGGTTTATAAATCAGCATTTGTGACAAGCTAGTCTTTACAAGATTATACTCTCTCATTGGTTTCAATACGGGTGTATAAGTGAAAACTAACTTGCTTACTTTTCTTTGGTTTTACTTTTGCTCTACTCCACCCAGCTTTCTGGTTCTCTTGTAAAACAGGTTGTAAGGCTGTGATTGTTAGCAGTTCGCAATGTCTTCCTCCATCATTACTCTTATTCTCAGTTTTGTTAGATAAACCACGCATGAAAACAGTGTTCCGCATTATTGAAATGGAGCCTTAAAACACTTGTGACGAAGGAATCAAAAAGCACAAAAGCAAAACAAAGCCCTGTTGTCAGAGAGCCCGCAGGATGGATAGATACAAACCTAATGACTTGATTACAGTGCGCACACATGGGAGTACGCTTTCCTGCAGGAATATGCTCTGCCCGCTGAACCAACGTGTCTTGCTCATTTAGCTGAGGTGCTGTCGCAAATTTTTCACTCGGGTCAGTTGTTCCTGGCGGTTTAATACTGTTTGATGTCCATCCACTGGCAGGAGCTGGAGAAAGAGTGCCAAAAGCATTTAGAAGACCATCCTTTCAGTACCAAGTAAACTATTTTGAAATACAAGCAACCGGCAACATTTGCCTAACATCTTTGTCCAGTGTATACCTGCCTACTTAAAGGAACAAATTAAAAAGCACTTATTTTCCCCTCCTCCCCCACCAAGTAAGTCCTACCTTCTTTATGAAATGTCTGTGAAATAACACAGAATGGTTTTGGCTAACTTGTAAAAGCAGTGGACAAATTTCAACATACTAAAGAAGTTAGGTGAAAGAATATACAACCTGTGAAGACAATATTTTGCTTTAGATACAAAAGCTGAAGCCAAGAATATCAATGTATGAACAGAGACAGGAGAATATGACGTACCTACTCAAAACATTTTACAGTGAGTGCAATAGATCATACGTCATTACTAACAGATTAAACAAGAGTACGCATTCAATACAACACGTACAGGGACTTAAAATACAGTACTCTATAAAGAAAACATATTTCTAAATCAAATTTAAACACTAGTCTAGATCACTAGATACTGCCAATCTGAAGCTCTCCAAAGGCCACGTTCACATCCTCTTTATAAAAGATATGACACTGAAATAAAACCCTGACGCTTTCAGAAATGTATACATCCACACACTCCCATTTGTGCTCAGGTTTTTAGAGTCGTAGAGTAGACACAAGCTTTTACAGAGTACGAAAAATGCATTTACAAAAATGAAAGGCACAGATGATGCTGTTGCCAAGGGTAATGAAGAAACAAACAGTCCTCTGCTTTTCTTTCTCCTCTATTGATATATGTACCTTGGTAACGTACAAGCTACAACAACATGAGTTTATGGGAGCAGTTATTCCTGTCAAGTAGAGAATTCTTTCTTTTTCAAGTATGCTAAACCGCCCCCCCCATTTCCATAGCCTTTTGTCTGTAACCACAGGCAAAAGAAACTGTGAGTGTTTACTCGGTGTCCTGGCTTTAGTGCAGCTATACTAAACCTTGTAAATCAAAAAGTGAAATTGAGAGCCGCGTGGAAGCTCAGAGAGAAATAACCAAGCCAGGAGAGAGACGTCGGACAGTGCAGGATGATGCTTCTGTTGCAATGATGCAGCTCTCCAGCACAAGGTCAGTGCATCGGTATGTAGCTTTGCAAAAAAACTAGTTTGTGTTAATCTTTGTGCTAGTCTTCCTCTCCCATCTTTCATATCATCTTCCAGGGAAAAGATGAAAAACTGTTTATCATTATCTCCCTTCATGTAATGCTGATCAGCCTCCGCCCTACAGAAAAGTTGCAAATACCTTTCAGGTAAAACATTGCATTCCCTGCTCAAATGGAAGTGGCATACTAACCCACAGAGAGGATACATTTAAGTGACAGGGAATACACAGAAAATTCAACAGAAATGCCAAACCCTTGCTATTTACACAAGTAAGATAACCACTACACAATTTAATCAGAACAATACAATGAACTTCAGTTAACAACACCCCCTCATGCTTATTTGTAGGCTAAGGCAACACAGCTGGAAGAGAAATCCTTTTTAACACCAATACTTTTGTACTATAATTATGCTTGCTATTAATCCACTATTAATCAATACCTACTTTTGCTTACTTTTTCTCTGTATGAAGAAGCAATATAGTCATAGATCTTTTTTTGTCTAACTGGCTGGTTCATCACATTTTCTCGAATCAGGTAATTTCAAGATTGACATATTTTTGGATTGTTTTCAATATCTGCAGTAGCAAAAAATATACCAGTTCATCAGGGTTTTTTTGTTGTGGGTTTTTTTTTTTTTTTAAATACAAGAATATTGATTATACTTACTGTATAACTAATTAATTTGCAATATCTTGAAAACATAACATCCTGATTCTAGAAACATTCAGCATTCCTGAGTAGAAAGTATTTAGGAATAAAAGCACTTGATCTTGAACAAGTCACTCTGCTACTGTAGTTCATTTTAGATTACAAATGCCTGCTAAACTGAAAACATAGGAACAGATAAAAATGGAAAAGGTGGCAGAAAGGCTTTGAAGACATGAACAAAAGTGGGTTTGATTAATAGCACTTTCCTCCTCTGTCATCACACATGGCCTTCTAATTTTCAGGTCCCATTTAATGAGAAGACAAAAATACACACTAAAACCAAATCTGTTTGAAGACTGCTTTTGCCATAAATCAAATTGCAGTGCAGCTTCTAGTATACTGCTAATTTCTGTTTGAGTAATTTGCTGAATCCCAAAGCCCATTCAGACACATCAGCTAGCCCTTGTTTGCACTGTGTAGTTAAAAAAAGTCCTTCTGCTTGCTTAAAGGGAAAAAAAAAGTACAAACACCACAATTATTCCCTTTTCTTTGGTCTCATTACAGCTTTCATTAACGCTGTTTTTATGAATGATGATTTTCTGAACAATACCCAACTTTAAAGTTACTACTGGCCAGGAGCAGGATTTGTCTACATAAACTTTCTCTCAGAGTTGTTAGACAAATCAGTCATTTCTGAGTTATTCAAAGCACTAAAAAAGGAGAGAAGGAGATAGTCCCTCAGTCTGGGAAATAACTTTGGTCTATTAATGACCCTATGTTTAAACAAAAATTCTCTTTGAAGCGGACCACACTATAAACCACACAAATTAGTACTGTGTTAAGCCAGAGGTGTGGCCTAAGCAAAAACAAGCTGGGCATTTAGTGTTGAGGACCAGCGAAGGCAAATGGACCCACTCCACTTCCACTGAAACTGGTGAACTCAAGTTCAACGCCCAGACCTCCAGCAGATGCAGGACTCCCATGGGATGTGGGAGTCACAGCCACAATGCAAACAGAATAAGGGGAATAACAAATAAGCCCTAAGCCTCCAGATACTTCTGTATTTGCCAAAATATTTTTGGATACTGGATAAAAACTATGTTCTAAAAGGCTTTTCGCCTGTCATTTGTAAATTTACTATTTGGTCTACTATGATGGGAACAATATCTAATTTGTGACTGCAGATGCCATCAGCAGCTGAGAACTAAGACAGAAAAGGTTGCCTTCTGCTCAAAAATCCTTGAAAAGCAAGACCTTAAAGCATTTTATTAAACGGTCTCTTCTTCCATCTCTTGAGGCCAGTGTGAAGCCAGGAGGCTCCCTGCCCATGCTCAGAATTTGCCCCCACAACATTCTCTCAAGGGCTATTTTTCTCTTTGCTGGTATTCACATTAAGACCTCGTTGGTCTTGCACAGTACTCTTCTCCTCTACTCCTGTTCTGAAGTGGACTCAAGTTTCTTTCAGTTTAGATTTTTCATCCTAAAGAAGAGGAGCCAGTCCGCTTCCATTGCCTTTAGATCCATACCCTTATTAAAGAAAATACACCAGTAAAGTATAGTAATAGCTATTTCACCACATTTATTATACTGGTTTCTTTGTAAACCTTCTACAGTTGTTCTACTAGATTTTTTTTCACCATAGATCATTCTCCGTTTCTCACCGCTTGATTTGCCTCAGTCTTTTTATCTTCCTCATTCCCATCTGAACGCCAGCCTGAGGACAGCTTTTATTGCCCATTTGTATCTTTCCGTAGGCCAGAAACATGCTTTTAACACTCCAGTAATTTTAGCGAAGGTTCATTACTTCCACTGCAATCCACAGAGCATTTTTTCTTGGTGGTGGTATTTTTGTGGTTTTGTTTGTTTGTGGTTTTTTTGTTTGTTTGTTTTGGGGGTTTTTTGTTTGGTTGGTTGGTTGTTTTTTTTTTTTAAAAAACCACCATTAGTACCCCAGTTAAAATCTATATGAATTCTCAGTATTTTTTTCCAACAATATACCACCTCTTGTAGCTACAGAATTTCAAATATCAGGCCTGTTTTCTTGTTTAGAATGAACATCGATGTTGCCTAACTATCCCTTCTACTTAAACAGCAAGTTAACTCCTGTGCTGGACAAGATGTTTTTTCTGCAAGCAGAGAGGAAGGGGACACTCCCAGAGTTCCCGCGTTCTCCGCCTCTCCTTTCTCTTCCCTATTCCCTTGGAAACCTTTCAGACTGAAACACAACCACATGATTTAAAGAGAAACATCAGGCCCTGAAAACTTATGCAGGTGTTTTTCCTTGCAATGAGAAGCTTTTACCAGGGCACACCAGTAATAACAAGGTAGGTACAAGTTATTACACTCAATCTAAGCAAAGACCTCTCGACTCCTGGCAATCAGTTTGAGCTCTCCCGTGGTTTGTGCTTTATACTTTGCTTTTTGCATTTTACATATATAATTTTGGATCCCATCAGCAGTTCTGTCCTCAAAGAGTGCTGGGGAGGTGCGCTGGTGCCCGAGATCTGGCGAGGTGCACGCGCATTTTTAATTGTGAACGATGGCTGAGTGGGGAGGGAAAAGGAAGCAACTCCAGCTGCCTCACGACACAATCTCACCACATATTTTCTGGGCGCTACCTTTGTTGCATGAAGTGGGACAGGGTGCAGCAACTTTCATGGGTGCGCTGAAGAATTATAAATTATAATGAGTAAAAACAATAAATAAATAAGAGAAATTCTGATTTATAAGAATTATACACCTCATCAGGAGCTATTCTACCCTGAGTGCCGGAGATGTTCAGGTGCTCCACGAGTCATGAAAAGATCTCTGTGGCCAAATTTGGAGTTTTGCAGGCTTCACTTCACCTTCACTCTCTTTAATTAAACCTTCTAAAGCACCGTTGATTTGCACTGGTGTATTGTCATAGCTGGCTCTTCTAAAACCGAAAACACTCTGTACCCAACTATTAACTTTCTACTTTATTAGGTTTAAGTTTAGCAAACCCTCAGTGTTTGCTTTCACTAAACTCCTTGGTATGGCTAGTTTAATATTTAACAAAGTTTTAGGCAAGGTAAAGAACTGGCTTTTTTTCTTTTTCAAAAATCCCAGTGTGACTTTGCCCTCGTTAGACTAACAATAGGCTGTTCCATCGCTGAGCACATGGATAACTGCAAACACTGGCGAAAGGTTTGGAAGACAAAGGGAGAAA